AACTTTGATTTTGATATTGTCATTGAAATCCTCAAGGGTACTAAATGTATCATTTATTTGTGGGGTCTTCCCCAATTTGTCTGATGTGTGCTCTGCAAGCTCCAATAAAATTCAAATCAAACTGAGAAAATTGTATTTACTTCTTGTAACAAATAGCACAATAAATACATTTCCATAGCACTACATTCCTTTTCTAGCTGTTTTTAGTAGTTGTACACATTGTATTTATATAAAATGCAAGAAAACCCACAAGGTCTGTATAAAATCGTCTACTGTATAATAGCATAGGTAAAAATACAGGTGCAGTATTTACTCTTTCGGAAATCGTAAAGGTTATATGTACAAGATTTTATAGAAAAGTACAGCAGCCAAAAAGTATTTTTTTAATGTAAAGATATAATGGAGTAATGGCCTGCTGGGCAGAGAATGAAGTCACGCTCCCTTCACATGTTCCTCTTAGCGCATGTGTGTGCATGTTAGTGCATGTGAGTCCCTCCCTGTAAAACCATTGGCCCTCTACCTCCATGGCTACAAAGCAAGGTGGTTAAATCTCCAGTCAGTGGTGATGTTAATATGACATCTGGGTGGACACAATTATTTTCCGTCCCCACACGCACACACCTGCCTGGGATCAATCTGGTTTCAAGGCAGGCCACCCAACTGAGACTGCTAGAGCAGCCTCTCTCTCCTCTGTCCTCATCCTTCTAGACCTTTCTTCTGCGTTTGACACAGTGAACCACCAGATCCTTATTTCCTCCCTTTAGGATCCGGATGTCTCAGGCACTGCTCTCTCCCCGCTCTCATCCTACCTCAATGACTGCACTTACCGAGTAACTTGGAGAGGATCTGTGTCAGAACCTTGCCCTCTCACTTCTGGGGTCCCTCAAGGTTCCGTCCTGGGTCACTTCCTTTACTCTCGCAGCTATGTCATTCACTCACATGGCTTTTCTTATCACAGCTATGCAGATGACACCCAAATAATTATCTATTTTCCCCAATCAGAAACACAGGCAGCAGCAGGAATCTCTGCCTGTCTGACTGACATCTCTCAGTGGATGTTGGCACACCACCTTAGCATGAACCTTGACAAGACCAAACTACTTATCCTTCCAGGGAAGGGCTCTCCCACCCATGACCTGACTATCACCATTGACAGCTCTGCTGTAGCCCCACCGAGACCGCAAGGAACCTGGTTGTGACACTCGACAGTCATCTCTCCCTTACGTCCAACATTGCTGCAACAACCCACTCGTGTAGATACATGCTGCACAACATCAGAGGAATACGTCCCCTTCTCACTCAATGTTTGTATCCGATCATGGTGAAGACTGACAGCTGAGCCACGCCCACAGAGCTTATCGTTACCTGGTTAGCTCAGGCTAAGGAGCTAGGCTAAATGCTACCCGCTACTGCTAACCGGCTATCGCTGCGGTGTAGTTGCTCTGGGATGGTCACGGTCGTAACAACGAACCGAACAGAGGTAAGTTACCCTGAAACTTTACAACAACAAAACCTATTGATTTATTTATTATTATAATCATACCACATATACTTACAAGCCTCAAGTGGTTTTTAATGTTATTGTGGTAATTCACCGTTTATTTAACACGTCTAATGAAGTTTGAAGCAAGTTAACTAGCTTTAGTAAAGAGTTGTGTTTTGTCATTTGATTGTAATTTTAATAAGTTAATATTAATAAGCTGCATGTGATACAGACTTGTATAACCGCCATTACTATTACAACCTCTTTTTTAGCCTGTTATGAATTCACAGTTAATTAGACTCAGTGCAGATGTGTAATTATATGACAGTTTAGATGTGATTATAATCTCCACACACCACTGTTGTAAACAGTACTCATATTTATTATATGTATCTGTTTTAACACTGTGAGAAGTTGAGGGACTTGAAGTGGACTGTTATCAACAGCACTGTGAGAGATTATCACCCTTGAATATTACAGATGTGGTAGAAAGACATGTTATATATTTGTACAATGTTTATTTCTTTTAGTACATCAGTTTGGCTGAAATCTGTGGAGCTTCCACCTGCTGAACACAGAATAAACTGTAAGTACCCGTCTTGGCTGCTTAACACAGCTGATATTACATGTGTCAACATTATTGTAATTATTGTATTGTACAGTATCTGTAAATAATCGTGTTTCTCCTCTGTTCCTTAATATCTACAGATGTGACAATGATTTCAGCATGAAACATCCTTTAACATGACTTTTTTCATTTCATGAAGCACTGCAACACCTGATGTCCTCAGAATCCACTGTGGCAGCAGCAACAWGGTGGAGATCGGCAGCTTCAGGCTGGTCAACATGATAATAATATTGAGTCAATTTCTATATCCATTATGGTTGGTAAAATTAACACTATCACAACAATGTTCATCTTTTACTTTCTGATTTAATAAACCTTAGATAAAAAGTGTAGTCTTTTCTTTTTTGCCATAAGAGACAGAACACGGTCGGCACAGCTGTGTCCCGCAGGTTCGTCCGTCCCTAATAAAATGACAGGAAACATAAAAGTATGGCATTATTGCAGAGATACGTGTTACTTTCAAACAAAGTCTGTGTCCTTTGTCCTGTGGATATTCAAGTATGTATCTGAATATGGTTTGGGATTAAACAGTGTATAATAAAATAAATAAATAATCTAATAAAACATTATTACTGAAGTTACTCACAGTAACGTAGTCAAGCCAAATAGGTTGGCGAGCTGAACAACTTTACATAACGTTAAATATCTAACTTGATGATATTCACTAAACACACAGTCGCCTTCAGTTTAAAAGATTTATCACCATGAACTCTAACGCTCCTCTCTCCGCTGTGTGGACGCTTCATGTCGGGTTAATTACTCCCGTCCCTCCCGTTAGCATCGCCGTTACTGCTGGTATCTTGCCTGGAGGTTAGCGGAGCTAAGCTAACCAGCCAGGTACAGACACAATGATACCTGCTCATCACTACTGACACGTAAATCAAAGACAGTACTTTACTCACCACAGACACTGCAGCACAGACGTCTTCCACTTCTCCGTCAGGACAATCAGCCGAACAACAAACGATGATATTCACATGTGAGTGAAAACTCCTCCACAGACTCCGCTCGTGCTCGGTGACGGGGATTAGCCTGTTAGCTCAGGTGAAGCCGAGCAGACCACAGGCTAACAGCCAGAGTGACGAGCTAACGGTGACGTCACGTGTCAATCAAGTGATAATATTCACAATTTCAAACCTCTAAATTATCTAAACGAGCGAGTTAGAAAAAAATTCAATATAGTTTTTCATACAGGACTTCAGTGCATGTTTATATAACATAAATTGGACATTCTCACAAAAAAATATCTGAATACTTACCACAACCAGTAACGACAAAAAAATGTTTAGAAAAGAGTCAACACAACATATGAAACCAGTCAAATAAGTTAAAGTAGTATTGTTGTCTTTTAGTTTCATTAAAAAAAGCTGATTGGCTGGCAACATAAGGTTATATCTTTATATACAGTCTATGGGTTAGACACTGAACTTTATTTCTAAGTTAACAATGAATGTTCTAATGACACAAGGTAGGATATCTATGATGTCCTCCATTCCAATCAAAATGAAATACCTCTCTCTGAATGCTTTGCCTCTACATTTTTGACATTTGAGTGGATTGATCATCTGCTCTGATATGCAGACTAAAGAAAAAGATCTTCTGCACAGATGTTAGATGATGATGGCTGAATTTCTATTCTATGTTCACAGTGATGAATAAAACAAATGGCCTTGCGAACATGGATCTGCTGGAGAAGATTCTTGGTGTAATGTACACGCTGACAGTCAAATCCAAAATCTTAAGGTACAATAAAAGCATTTCAGTGTTGGAGGGAACAGAGAGCAGTCTGTATAACAATATGACATTATGTCCTTTATCCTCGTGGGATACAGACTCAACATTCAGTTTATCACAACACCAGAGCAGGGTTATTATAGTTAATGAAAACTAAAACTAGCAATGAACAAATAATTTAGTTAACTGAAATAAAAATAAAAACGACAATTACAAAAAAAACGAAAACTAAATAAAAACTACAATGAACAATGCAAAACTAACTAAAACTAAACTGAATTGCAGATAAATTCAGCTTCGTTGTCGTTTTGTTTTCTCCCTGGATCACTGCCTGTCCTGCAGGTGATGGTTACAGAATGAAATTAAAGGACTTGATAAACCATATTTGGTGTCACACATTGTTTCATCCTGTTTCAGCTTCTACAAGTCAAGGCTTTCTCTAAATACCTGGAAAAAGTCAAACTAAGACTAAAACTAAATAAAAATTTAACTGAAACTAGTCGATTCCTCAAAATAAAAACTAAAACTACAAAACCATTTGTTGAACTAACTAAAACTAAACTGAAATAAAAAAGCAAACTGAAAAACTAAATAAAATAAAAAAAATTCAAAACTATAATAACATTGCACCAGAGACAGGATCACATCTCCTAACATAAAACATTGCATCTGAATTATTACTGCAGACGCTTTCAGACTTCTCAGGGCAACCATCTGTGAAACAGTTCAGATCAGGCATAATAGAAGTAATACATGAGGTATTAGGGTGTGTAAAAATCACCAATTCCCTGACAACACCCAATGAGGCTCCGACAGCAGGGCAAGACCGCTGGTAAGGTGAGATTTGTATTTAAATTGACATTTAAAAGCAGCTGACATAGGCAGTCAGGGAAATTAACAATTGTATTGGTTTAATCTGATCTTCTCTCAGTGTCACGTTTCTGTTTGAAAAATATGACACTTTTTAATTGTGCAGTGAAACATTCATGTTATATTTATTATATTGCATTCCTCACCAAAGCAATAGAAATACGCAGAGGTGGAATATTATGGACCAATAAAAAGGCAAATGAATTGTTGTTGTTGTTCTTCTTCTTTGTTTCTGGTGAAAGGCAAATTCCTGAGTGACACATGAGCGGGGCGGAAGTGACGTGGGGAGGGACGGCTTGTCGTCACATGTGATTAGTGGGTGTGTGTTGTCTTCCTCCTCATTCAGTGCGACGTTTTATTAAAGTTGTAAGATGGCGACGGTGCATCTGAGGATCGGGGACCTAGTGTGGTGAGATCACGTTGAAACACTGAAATCGCTCCGTGTTGTCGCACTCGACAGTTCGGCGCTGATGTTTGTGTCTGCGGGCTTCGAGCACACGTAGTTCGCGGACGTGTACGCGCACTCGGTCGGTCGATAGTCAACCCAAACAAATTGCTAACCGAGCTGACTCAGCCAGCAGCCGTCGTTAGCCGCTAGCAAGCGACCGGGCGAAATGGAGGGTTTCTAACTCACGGAGACCGTTCACCCCAACACAGCCTCGTCTGTTGTCGTCCCGTTTCTTTCGCCGACGTGTGCTTGTGTTTATTCCCGTCACACACGTTGTGTTTTTGTCGTGTTGTGGGCTCTGCTAGCTGCGTAGCTCCGGCGGACCTCCTCTGCAGCTCTGCTTCCGTGTTAAGTGGAGCAGCCGTTCCTCTGAGCTGAGGTTTAACCCGCACATGAGGCTCCTCTGTGCGGAGAGGGACGACGACCCGGTCGCTCCGGCTTCATGGCGCTGGTATCACCGGGGGAGAGAGGGGCACGTTGTCCGGTGTGGCGGCGTCACACGTCCCGAAACATTAGCGCCCATCAGTGTCTTTAAACCGGATTATTCCACGCATCGGGGATGAAAATGACCACGTGATCGTGTTAGGAGGAAAAAATAATACAAACCACAATGATCACAATGTTAATGTGACCACAGAGCCCTACAACACTAGCGGCTTGTATTCCCTCTGTTGTTAGCACCATCAGCTGTCAGAATTTAATGAAGTGTCGCACTTGGCTGTTTCCAAACAGTATTGAACTTAACACGTGCTTGTTGCAAACATGTGTCAACAGGAAATGCTTGTTAGGAGGACAAACAGGCAAACAACGCCGTTTGAAAAGCACCATGTGATAAACACACTCACATGTGCCTCACTGTTTATTTCAGCGCTGCTCCTCCCTTGTGTTTTTCCCCCATTTAGTCTCTTCTCTGTATTGTAGTTGCGTAATGCAGTTGGCCAGTTCTGCAATTCTGCTTGTTTTGCCAAGTATTTGTTGTCATGTGTTGTGACAACCAGGAGAAACACAGATCTGTGCATTGTTATGCTGATGGTGTACATTTCATACACATTCAAAACAATAAGAATTTTTCTTAAAGAACATTTTCATTCAGCAAAAGAAGCCAAAGGTCCGAGGTCAGATGTCGTCTAAACACGAGCAGCTGTGCCAGAACTTCACCTACCTCCATCTAAAACCAGCGCATTTTTCATTTCATCAGAAACCGTATCATAAACATAAATACTTTACACGCTCAATGCTATGGGGACCTTTTGTACCCAATATGTTCTGTGGTGCCAGCAATGAAAGCAAGACATTAACCACGCCTAAATGTATCACTCTTATTTCAGGGGGAAGCTCGGGCGTTACCCACCATGGCCAGGAAAGGTAAGGATCAAAGACACTTCACACTAGCTGGTTCAAAACATTTCTACAATTAACATGAAGCGTATTCTGATATTACACTAAAAGCTTTATTCACATTTCAGGTAGTAAGCCCTCCAAAGGACCTGAAAAAGCCTAGGGGTAAAAAATGCCATTTTGTGAAATTCTTTGGAACTGAAGACCAGTAAGTCTGAATTGTAATCTACTTGTTCTGATTGACACTGCAGTGTCTTCTCCAGGAAATGTCTAAGAGCTGTGTGTCTGTGTGCCTGTGCAGTGCCTGGATTAAAGTAGAACAGCTGAAGCCCTATCACGCCCACAAAGAGGAGATGATCAAGATAAATAAAGGAAAGCGCTTCCAGCAGGCGGTTGATGCAGTGGAAGACTTCCTAAAGAAAGCAAAGGGAAAAGAGCAGGTGAGACATTTTATTGTAATGGATTCTGCTTTCAATATAGATTATTGGTTCATATACATATTTGACTAATACACAAATTTGGTGTATGCTGAAGTGCACAATTACTTTATGGAGATACCGCTCGAAGCACAGTGGCTGTACTGTAAAGAAAATGTACAGTATGACACAAAATACCTCTTGCAAGGCACGTCACATGTTTATGTGACGTAATTTTAGATTTGATTATCCTGATCTTGAATCTCCATATTGAGTAGCTGACGGTGTGAACTGTGTAAGCATCAGCATCTGTTTGCACGAGGTGTGTCTCCATTATACAACATGACTGGTGAGCATTCTGCTTTGTGAATGAGACAACAGAGGGTTTTATGGTCTCACTTTACGTAGTGGACAGCTGATTTTCACTAGCTGTATGAAACTTTTTTCATTTAGATTTTCTGTTTTAGAAAACACATCCCTAAACGTATTCCAGACAGCCCACATGTTCCGTAACTGTTGCTTATTGTAATTTCTGATGGATTAGAGTGAGTGCATCGGGTGCCTGATGTGTTAGAGAAGATAGTATTATCTTTTAAAAAGGTAAACATGACAATTTATTGCAATGATACCCAATTCTGTTGTTATGCCCCCACACAACCAAAATAAATACATATAGGGAACATGTTTACTCATTATTTTCACTGTCGATCAATCTGCTGATTACTTCCACTGGTCAATCAATAAAACATTTAGTTAAAATAGAGAAGGTCACTCCTTCATTTCCAAGAGTCCTAAGTGACTTCATCAAAATGCTGGTGTTGATCAACTGGTACAAAGAGGCTAAGAAAAGCAGCAAATCTTGATTTTGGATAAGCTGGAACCGGCTTGACCAAAGTACTAGAAGTAATTGATCAGTAATCAACATGACTCTTGGGTTGTTGATCAATCAATTAGTATGGAAACTGTGGCTGACGGTGTAATGAAGTGAGACTGATCTCAGTGACTCTTACGTCCTGTCATGGAATTCTCATCAGGATCACATTCACTCTCAGCCAATGTTTATTCAGGTGGACAAATGATGAATTCAGACCATCTGTCCCCTTCTTTCACCAGCTCTTCTCTCTTATGTTCAGTGTACACAGAACCTGCTCAATCAGGCCTTATTGAAAGCCATGCCTTATACTTAAGGTCATAACGACTCACAACTGTGTTTCCATGCTGAAAGGGTAGCACTAAACAATAATCTGTGTTTTTTGACAGAACTCGGAGGGTAAAGGAGATTCAAAGGGAAAGAAGACACCTAACAAGCCACTGAAAATACTGGAGGAGGATGACGAGGATCTTAGTGCACTGAAGGACCCTTCTGAGAAGGTCAGTTAGACACTGAAGAGTTAAAAAACTGTCTTATTATAAGTTGACCAGAGTTTTACAACGCACATTTAATCTTCATGATGGCAAAACATTTACGATATTCTCTTGCTTAGTCTAATACACAAAAATAAAATAATAGGGCAGACAGATACTAGTAATTGTAAGCTCCACCTAACCCAAGCACCAGGGCACTGTCCTGGTTTTCTTGGTTAGAAACTGGTAATTAAAAATAAATAAAAGCCATTTTCTACCCCAGGAATGTTTATGGAACTTAACTTTTGCACAGGTCATAAGATAATACTAAATTCAAATTAGCCACTAATCACTGTCGAGGTGACCAACATTGCTACTAAACGTGTTTTGTCAAGCAAATGTTAGATCACAGCAAGGAATTACGTCAACAAACAGGAACCTTTATTTTTATACCCAAGAAGTCTCTGCTGACCAGGGGCCAGTACTGCAAAGACAGTTCAACATACCCAGCATATCTGTCTGTTTTCTGGCTTTACTGAACCAAACATTGACAGTTTGTACTATGAAGCTGTTTATCAGCTGTCTGAGCTAACCCTGGGTTTTCTTATCCAGCTACAAGCTCATTTATGTGGAGGAAGCAGAGTAAATTATATCAAGATCATCAGAAATGTAAATTAAGTTCTGAATATGACAGAAACACAGATACCTGCAGGCTAACTTGGTCTCAGTGAAAAGTGACATTTAACACATGGAAATAACACGATCAAATAACTACAATAGAAAGCGCACTCACAATATTTATAGATTTTTAAGTCAGCCCAAAGATATACTGTTAATTAGCACATGGATTTTTATCAAGTTTATCTCGAGTTATTCTTTTGTCTTTTTGTTTGTTGATGAACAAACAATTATAAACAGAAGCTTAGGTGATGTCAGAGTAGAGGAGTAGTTAATGTGCGATTAACTCAGTTGGACATCAGAGTTTTTAGTTTTCATTCCCCCTCATGTTCTTCTGAGCTGCACTGACTCTGGTTTTCCAGTGAACTGATTGATCAGGAGTTGGGCTGACAGATTTATTTTCATTATTTCAAACTTAACCTGCTCTTATTAGCAGTTTAGCATAAAGTGCACCAGCTTCATAGGACTGAAAACCCAATACTTTAACCTAAGATCGATAACTACAGTTCCGGCTTCGTAGTACAGACCATAGGACATTCAGTGCTTCCAGGCCTCATTAGTGTTTACAGAGACGTGTCCGTTCAGAAGCAGATTTGTCAACGTCAGGCAGAAGTGGGAATAGAACACACAGCCTCACAGTGCAGGGGGAATTAAAGAGATTTAAATAGCACTGACCCCTCTTCAGTTCTGTCCCGGCATCGATTTCTTTGGCCATACCATGAGGCTGGTCCTGTAGGGGTTTGTTCCGCTTTGTAAACAGTGTCAGCATGTCTTAAAGACTGAAATTGAACTTACAAAATTCATCCACATTTTCTCCTCACTGGTGTGGTCATTGATTTTACTTGATGATAAAGTTTAGTATGAGTTTGCAGGCTGTCACCTATAAAGTGAATGTGGATCTACAATTCATGTGGTGAGATACACAAACCACAGTGCTCTGAAGCTGTTACGCCTGTCTTGCTGACATGAATCTTTTGTTTATTTCAATAAAATTCAACAACAAACCTATTAATAAAGTCATTAGGAATTTATTGTTATATACTGGTGAAATGTCGTGTAAAAGTTATTTTGATTTAATTTAATTAATTTCTAGACTGTATTGTCTCAACTGGCTTTCCACCATCATATTTTGGTCGGTCTGATAGTGGAACATGCATTAAATTACATTCTACACTGTAAGCTGCAGGAGTGAAGTTAAAATACAAAGAGGCTGGTGTACATGTAATTTCAGGTTTCGTCTGTTATCTTTTCTTTGCATTCTGTTAGTTCCTGCATTAGAATTGTCATCCTCACAGAATGTTGTTTTTATAATCCAGTTTTTAATTCCTCAGTCATCTTCACTTAACAGTGTAACAACAGCAGGGGCTGCAGGCCTAATGTTGCCACAGTAACAGCCACCTGACATCAGTAACAACACCTATAGGGTTTTCTCCCGTCTGCAGAGGTATCTATCCGTGCACATCAGTGGGGTGTTGTGTGTCCAGGGTTTTCTGCCTCTGCCCTAAACAGTGGAGGTGAATGGAATCTGCTCTACATTGTCTCCTCCCAACAAGTGAAAAGTCCCCCACTACAGTAGACAAGCAACAAATTCACCCTTTGATTTCGAAGGTGAATATGTGTCTTTCTCCTCCTTAAGGACTTGACTGACTCTGACCCAGAGCCATCCACTATTGAGAGGCTGGGGTCTGGACCTGGCTCAGTATTCGAATGGGAAAACAGTGTAGGTGAACCCCCCCTCTCTCCCACCAAGCCTGCCTTGCCTTGCTGTTCTTCTACCTGAACTTTAACCTTTGGCTTTACTCACCAACAACTGCTGACCTTTCCCTTCTGACCTGTTGGGTGCACACTCTCGACAACTCAACGACTGTCTATTTGACATGTGCTTTTGAGATGGTCACCAACTCTGTATGTGGAGACCCAAAAGCAAGCTGAGGTTTGGTTGAGTTGACCTGATTTCCAGGTTAGCCTCCTGCCTTCTATTAGCAGCCTGCTCCTCAGGACCAGGGTTGATGACCACTCCTGGATAAACTGTTCCGAACTGTATGACCACCAGGTTTGTGTGTGCATGTAAAGAAACACAACAGCAAATACAAGTTGAGTCATTAACTGGTCTTCTTAATGTCAGTGGAAACACTTTCACACAAACGTCAAACTGATCAGTCTGCTGTTGCACTTACAGCACAAAAACTGTAAACATGGAACTGATCAAGTCCAAAAGGTCAAACAATTCACTTTAGCTTTTTTATGCTAAGGCAAATTGGAAGTTGAAATTTACTGTGAATGTTTACTTAACTAAAATATAAATATAAAATATAAGTGCAAATCTCTTCAATAAATTTACATAATAAAATAAAATAATTCATAAAACCTACAATAATTGAAGATGTGTGAGACAGTGTCAGGCCTCAATACAGCAAAATACTCCAAACTTGTCATCATCATGAGGTCACACAAGCAGTCAAGCACGGAGCATCCCTCTGCTTCAGATATATCCATGCAGTGCTAGGTGCTTCATTGAGTTTATCATGTAGACAGGGTGCCACCAGAGTTAAGTGTAATATACAGTAGACTGTTTGTGTTGCCAGTTAGCAGAACCTTTTCAGCACATAGCCCAGGAACTGAAATGTGGCTCAGAAATCTGTGTTGGGGTTAGGTCTGGTAGGTATCGGCTGTGTAGGATTTTGGTATCCAACCTTGAAGGTACAGTGTGTAGAATTTAGTGATATCTAGTGTTGAAGTGTCATGTTGCAGCTGAACACCCCTCACCTCACCCTCTCCTTCCAAACATGAGAAAGAAACTGTGGTAGCTTCAGTTGTCATAAAAACTCAAAAGGTGTTTAGTTTGTCCAGTCTGGACTAATGTAAAAAACATGGTGGCTCTGTAGAGAGGACCTCCTCCATGTAAATATAAAGTATTTAAATATAAAGGGTCTTTTCTGAGGTAAAGAAAACTACAATTCATACAATTTAGATGAAACAAACGAGTGAAATCATCATGAATCATTACATTTCTGCCAATAGTTCCCTTTCACCTAAATCTTACACACTGGACCTTTAAATATAAATTAATACTGACAAAAAGGACGTTTGATTATTTCTACTAAAGACAACTCCAGTTTAACAATTAAAATATGTATTTGTGCTGTTAATGTATTGTTGCACTACATTCATGAGGTAACTAATACTATTGGTTTATTTATTTCATCATTGATATATTTTATTCGATTGATTTCACAACTATTATCAAATGCAATGATCATCTGCTACTTGTAATGACCAGTGTCTGGCCCTGGAGGGGCATTCAAAACCAGACACAAAGAATGTGTTAACAGACTGAGTTAGAATGTGGTAAATGTAGTTTAAGAGTTTGGAACATCAGGCCACACTCTTGGCTGCACATTTCTGTTGTGGCACTGTACTGAACATAGCTTGTGTGCAACATTCTATCATGGTTCCACAGTTTTGCAAAATCCAAGTGTTTCCAAGCAGGAGTTTTAGATAGGGCCTATCATTCTCTGCAGGCAACATGCAAGACGTTGTGAGCTGCACTAGTGCTCTTTTTCCCCCTGTAGAATATTCATTGTTATAACCTAATGTTATTTTACGAAGTCCATTCCAACCAGTAGAGCTCGTGCTGCCAGTTACTGCTGCTCTCATCCTGCTTCATGCGCTGTTGAATTGTATCGGCCTATGTAAAACAGAACCAGTTCCTTTACAGTAGTGAAACATACTGGGGAAAAAGTCTTAGGCTGCTTTGCACTTCTAAATCCACTCAATTAATGTTGTTTAATGGGACGGTGAAAGCATGTAACTGTGTATTTGGGAGTCATTCAAACCTAACCAGTTTCCACTTGCATGGGAAGAAGCAGATAATGACTGGATTTGTGGGTTTAATGGGTTGTTTTAAGTAGAGGTGCAGTTTATCTGAAGTTACTGGAATCAAAGTTGTCTGGTTTCAGACAACACACTGTTATACACCTTTTTTTTTGTTTTTAATTCATTTTAACAGTTTGGCTGGAAGAGTATCAGATCAGTGTAGAACTGGAATAAAAAGAATTTGTGGACATTACCGACTAAGGCAACATAAAGCTCTGGCTCTTTTGAATAGCAAACTGTTTGTCTCTTGGTGTGAGACCAAATTTATTTTTTTTTTTTTTGTACTACAGTTTTTCTTTACTGTAGTACATTGGGGAGAGTTTCCCATATTTGAATGAACTGCTTACCAGAAACTTTATGGAGTTTCTTACCCATCTATATTCAAGGGTAGAGTAATTTAAATATGTTTCAAATTCAGATATTCACAGGCTTTCATCAAAACTCCGATCTCTCCCAACGCCCCCAGCTCATGCTCAGATTTGCTCTGCTCCAACTCTAAAGCAGTTTTCAGACATGAACTCCGGAAAAGGTCCAGACAAGTGGGTTGAATGAGTCACCTGAGTCCCAGTACACAGCGTTTTACTCTGCAAAAAGAATGTGGTCTGAGTGATTGGATCTCAATGTGTCTTGGGGGAACTTACCCATCCCCTTGTAATCAGATCACCCGAGACACATTTGAATGCCTGGTGTAAACAGGGCCACAGTGCCGACAAACTTTTATGAGCAGGAGCAGAGAAAATTTGCACTTGAGCAGAAGGTGTATGAAAGACGACATTAGAATGTCAGAAGCTGAAATGATGCTCTCAAAATGAAAAACCATGCTCTTGGAAGCAGGGAGGGAAGTAGTGTGGGAAAACATGGCACACTGTAAAAGGAGCCCTGACATGTCAGCACTGTGCAATGTAGACTCAAGGGTTTTCTATCCAAAGAGAACACTGTCCCACTGAACTCTTGTTCTGTTGCAGCCTGTGAAGGACGACCCACATTTCCATCACTTCCTTCTGAGCCAGTCTGAGAAGGTACGAGGAAACATGCTGACCAGGACTGCCACCCTTCTTTTCATTTAGAGGGAATGAGGACAATTCCTTTACTTAGATCTTGTGCAGCTCTGCTATGAAGAAAGAATTGACCAATTTCAGAAAAGTATCAGTCATTCTGTGGTGATCAGTTTTGATATCGGGGCTACAAACAAATCGACGTATGGACACTGAGAATTGAAAAACGTTTCGACTGTAGGAGGCAGAGGACATCAGCTGAGAAGGCGGCCCTTCAATGTTGACCAAGAAGAATTTGGGTTCACATATCTTAAAGAATGTGGCCACTCGTCCCAGACCACCTCTGATAGTGGACCGAGGGATCGGATCTCGGGGCGCATTTGAGTGTTCGCTGACCTAGCGCTGACCACTTGGGATCAGATCCCACAGGATGGATTTTAATACCAGATCTGGTGGAGGTCTGTGTCACTCTGTGGGCTGAATCTGATTTCATCAGCAGGGAAGTAATGTAGTACCTTATGTTATCTTGGTCTTATATCTAGACACACCCAACTTTGTGCCAGTGGCAGCGGTGTGAACCCCACCAGAAACTCGCCCCCAATGTAGGCCTGTCACAGTTAAACCGAAACAGCCTGCAGCTAAAGTGATAGATCCTCCTCCCCTTTCAGGGATTCTGCATTTTGGCACTCAATACACAACACTGGCACAGTTGTGACAAAGTTTATTTAGATAGCACTTACCACAAACTAGTCGTTACTAAGTGCTTACGGCAAGTCAAAGCAATAGACAGTGGATGAATAACAATAAATATAAAGAACAGAAGTTAAAAAGCACTCATTAGAGAACACATCTCCACCAAAGCCAAACAGTCCCATACTTGCTTGTTGCTTTTATAATGAAAAAAGTTGTAGTCTCCAGCAAATTGCTAAACTCATAGACACCATAAATATATCCACACCGTATTTCCTGAGAAATTAATTCAACTGTCTTACATTGTTGAGGAAAGCGATTAAACAACTAACCTGATCCACACCTAAATGTAATGGGTTATTTCCTGGTCCCTGCCCCATCACTCCTCGAGGTTGGGCGCAAATTAGTTCAGTACTTTTCTTTTTACATAATCCTGCTGACTGACAGGGGAAAACATAACCTCCTTGGTGGAGGTAAATCTTTTTAAACTGACCCATATACTGACTGATCATTAGGTGCTCTTTGTTAATAACTGTCATTTGATTGATATAGTTTAATAATGTAGGACTTACCTGATACAGAGAATCACACGTGTACTTGTGTCGTGTGTTAACCATTTGGTCATCTCTTGTTTGTTTCCCACAGCCAGCCTCATCAATGGAACCGATCAGCAAGCGCCTGAAGATCGTTGAAGAGGTAAAGCAGAATCATTTTTTTGTTACAGTAACCAGTAAAATGTTGAACCATCTTTTTTACTTGTACAGGTTGATTTTCCTTACATTTCAACTTTAGTCTTCTAAACAATTTCACATTATGTGTTGCGACACAAGATACACTGAGTATGATATTGACAGTTTTATTTTTTTTGTGCAGGACACAGGGTCAACATCTATCCAAGCAGCCGACAGCACAGCCATTAATGGCAGCATCACACCCACAGATAAAAGGTATTAACACATGCTCACTAAAGCGTTACTGAACACCATTATTACAACGACTTACTAAATTTAGCTGGAAAGGCATATCTTCAAATGTCATGAGATAAAAAATGATCCCCTAATCATTATGATGTGAAACGTCCTCAAAATAATAACTTGTGTATATGAAAATGACTCCTTGAGAAGGTTTCTAATCATTTTTACATACTAAGTTTATTTCAGACTACATCGTGCTGAAGGAAATGGGCTTTTATAGGAAACAGGGTTGCTATTACTGATATTGCTTAATTTAGTGGTCATCCTTACATTTAAAATAGATAATATAAAACACTCATATAGCACTTTATTAGTGTTGAGGGATTGTTGACCATCCTCACACATCTGCCATATAGTGCCTGTCTAATTTCACAGATCCCTTCTCTCTCCTAGCAGTGCCCAAGGTCAGGTTATAGATAAAGGACCAACCAACGGTACATTGTAGTGTCTACGCTCAGGGACTTTGATATCTGACTCAGATGCCCCAGACAGAGAGACACCAACTTCAACTCTTTTGTGTATTTCACCAGTGGCAAGACATAAGGACACAATGTGATTTAGGAATGCATGCGTTAGGCTTAACTATCCAATAGGAGGCAAACACCTACATGGAACATGGAGAGTGACAGCAATTCTAGCCATTCATGGATGTGCTGTTAGAATGGGTGACGCAAGTAGAGGAAGATATATGGGGATGCTGTGGGAGACATCTTCAGATTTGGGGGTGACAATGTCTCATGTTACTCTGTTAGTGTTTGTATATTGTTCCACCTTCTGGTCTCCTTGCATCAAGTCTACATTCAAATCTTCTGACAGGACATCAGCTGCTGTCTGAGATCTCCTTTCACCAGCTTCCAGGAAACTTCCATAACAATTAGAAACACCACACTAACACTGTAGGTAGAACAGCTCTTGTGTTCATTGATTCCACAAGATGTTGGAAACTTTCCTTTTGACTGCCTCACAACATCCCTGCAGATTCGTCAGCTGCACGTTTATGCCACCAATCTCCTGTTCGACCACATGTTCACCTGGATTTACCTCCTGTGACTGAAAAGGTCACTAAAGTTCACTAAACTCACTGTCATGATCAACCAGTTTCCATCATTCTGCTGCAGAGTTAAGCAGATGTACAGGTGTTCCTAATAAATTACTCAGTTTATATGAATGCTAGTATTTCATTTTATTATTTGTTTGCTTGTGTTTTAATGTTTTTTTCTTTTGGATTTTTCCCTTCAGGATAGGGTTCCTGGGTCTGGGGCTGATGGGTAGTGGTATTGTTTCCAACCTGCTGAAAATGGGTCACGTGGTCACCGTGTGGAATCGCACAGCAGAAAAGGTGCGTTTGGTCACCGCCACATATTATATGACTATGCACAGACACAAGTGAAACTCTAGACGATTCTTTCACACAGGCTGGGAGGCCAAAGGGTAAAATGCATAAGATTCATATTCTTGTAGTAACAGATTCAAATTTCACATTGGGTGGAGAGTGCAACTGAGGCTGCTTATTCGTGAACCTGTTGAACAATAATATCAATTCAAGTGTTTTGCCGCTAACAACCCTTGCCCGCTGTGTTCCAGTGCGACCTGTTCATTCAGGAGGGTGCCAGGTTAGGCCGGACTCCTGCAGAGGTGGCTTCCACATGTGACATCACTTTTTCCTGCGTCTCCGACCCAAAGGCCGCCAGGGATGTAAGTATCATCTCAACTACACACGGCTTCCTGCTGAGATGCTGGATTATTGGTTAAAAACGTTTCCACGCCTGTGTTTGATGCTCTGCAGTTGGTGCTTGGACCCAGTGGGGTGCTGCAGGGAATCAGGCCAGGGAAATGCTATGTAGAGATGTCCACCGTTGACCCAGAGACCATCACAGAACTCTCACAGGTATTCCCCAACACACCCAAAAATCTAAATGCTAACATAATAAGCATTTCTGTATTAAGTTGTTTTCTAATGTTTGAATTTGAGGTGATCACGTTGCGGGGCGGACGTTTCCTGGAGGCTCCAGTGGCAGGAAGCCAGCAGCTCTCCAATGATGGGATGCTGGTCATTGTGGCAGCTGGTGACAGGACGGTCTATGAGGACTGCAGCAGCTGCTTCCAGGCCATGGGCAAGACCTCCTTCTTCCTGGGTATGTTGTGGTACTTTATGATTTTTGGGTTGAGACTGTGCCATATTTCTCTTTTCATTAATATGTGACAACGTGTCTTAATTAAGGTGAGGCAGGGAACGCAGCGAGGATGATGCTGATCCTCAACATGGTGCAGGGCAGCTTCATGGCCACCATCGCAGAGGGGCTTACTCTGGCCCAGGCCACTGGCCAATCACAGCAGACCTTCCTGGACATCCTGTGCCAGGGCCAGATGGCGAGCACCTTTGTGGACCAGAAATGCCAAAGTAAGTAATTTGGTTATTGACCTGCACCCTAGACAAGTTTTTATTGACTCTGAATATTTGTTCTTCTTCTCATTTCAGTGTTTAAGATTGAGAGTTTGAGGTTATTGACTAAACTGAAAATATTTTTTGAAGGTAGTCATATAACATTTCTTCCTGCAACTTTCAGATATTTTGCAGGGCAACTTTAAACCAGACTACTATTTGAAACATATTCAGAAGGATCTGAGGCTAGCCATCTCCATGGGCGACATGGCCAACCATCCAACCCCAATGGCTGCGGCTGCCAATGAGGTACCACTCTGTTCTTATATTTATTATCAATTTAGGAGCATTGTTTTCTTAGTGTCTCAGAATTATGTGTTTACAACAAAACAACTTTTCTGCTTTCTTCTGAGCTGGTGAGCAAAGACTGTCTCCTTTAGACACACATGGGTATTTGTTTGTGTAGTTGAAATGAATCCGGTAGATTTCACAGGCTGCCAGAGATACACCGCACATGTCTGTAATCAGGGGAATCAAGCAATGACCAATGCGTGTGAGGGACGGGGGTAACACATACTCATTGAAGCTCAGGCACAGGTCGGGTTCAGACCAGGGTTACTATAGTTAACGAAAACTAAGACTAAAACTAGAACTAGCAATGATAAAATAATTTAGTTAACTGAAATAAAAATAAAAACGACAATTACAAAAAAAACGAAAACTAAATAAAAACTTCAATGAACAATGCAAAACTAACTAAAACTAAACTGAATTGCAGATAAATTCAGCTTCGTTGTCGTTTTGTTTTCTCCCTGGATCACTGCCTGTCCTGCAGGTGATGGTTACAGAATGAAATTAAAGGACTTGATAAACCATATTTGGTGTCACACATTGTTTCATCCTGTTTCAGCTTCTACAAGTCAAGGCTTTCTCTTAATACCTGGAAAAACTCAAACTAAGTAAAAACTAAAGTGAAACTAGTTGATTCCTCAAAATAAAAACTAAACTAAAACTACAAAATCACTTGTTGAACTAACTAAAACTAAACTGAAATAAAAAAGTGAAGAAAATTTCAAAACTATAATAACCTTGGTCCAGACAGAAAAAAACGAAATGCCCGTCGTGCTCGGTTAGTTTTTTAGGGTTGAATTGGGTTCGGACAGAAAAATGCAGACCGGGTTTACTTGTTTATAACTGACGTCCACTGAAGCATTTCACCTGCTCCAGCTGCCACCTTTAGAAGCCTCTTCCCCTCACGCCCTTGTATCTGAGGTGTGTGTAATGACCTAACCGAAGTTAATAGACACAATCACCACAAGTGTCTCATTCATCAGGAGAGAATATTATGGGCAAGAAGATACTCAGTCAACTAGGTTAATGTTCCAGGTTGAATAGAGGGTAGCTGGACATGGTTGTAGATGCTTAGTTGTCCTGTGGTCAGCCGTCTCAGTATCACAGTCCTCTACATGGAAGACTGCTCAAGCACAGTCCTTCTCTGGAGGTTATGAACTTTATTAATGCTCTGCATCTGTAATGCAACTGAAACTATTGTTTTGATTTCTGTCCCCGTGCAGGTTTACAAGAGGGCTAAGGCACTGGACCAGTCAGACAATGATATTTCTGCAGTCTACCGAGCCTACATTCACTAGAGCGGGGTGTGACCTATCCTCTGGACCAGTCTTTAATCCCTTCTTATTTCTCCCTCATTATTTACTGAGTGTTATTTTCAATTCTAGTTGTTTTATTTCTTTTAGCCCCAGTGGCAGCCATGTTACTTGCCCACAAGTCATGGATTGTAATTATGTTTTTCGAGGTAACCTTGAGCATTGTAATGGTGTGTTCAGAACAAACACAAAGTCAAATGGTTGTGCGAGCTTTGTTTGTGGTAAAGACAAAATGACGGCTGGAGTCACATTAGTATTTTCAGATTTTCCCTGGTCCTCCTACTGTTACTGTTTCTACAAAGTACAGATTTATCACAGAACTCACTGTCCACACACAATAAGTTTGCTCTCCTTGTTTTTGCTCCAGTTGAAATTGTTTCCATTTCAGCAGACACATGTTCATGTGACCTGGCACAAATTTGCATCGTTGCTTGGGTTTAGTATGTAATCACAGCACGGGGAACTATGTCTTCACGTTTGATCTGAACACACCATGAGAGTGCTCCAAACAAGGTTGTACTACTGCTGTGGGGGCGGTTAGTCTGGTTTCTGACAACTGGGGGGGGAAAAAAAAAAAGTGGTAGAAGTAACGCAGGGTGGTCGGGGCATTGCTACTGTGAAGAGCAGCGTGTCCGACTCAGTCCAGAGAAAATGCTGTCAGGTATAGTGGATACAGAAACCCTAAAGATTTTTTTTTTTGTTCATGTGCAAATGAAGAGTTTATTTAATTGAGTGTGTTATTTGCTTTTCTTTTTAATCGTCCAGAATTCCATGAGAGAAAACACCAAGAACATGCCACTGCATTGCCTTAACATTGTAACCCCCTCAAGTCTTTCAATGATAGATGTATTTATTTATGCTTCTTTCCAGGTCTTCTTGGTGCAGTTTATTCATGGCTTGTTTCTGTGTTTGACCACATGATGTATGCTTTTATGTTGGTGTTATTGATTAATCTTTCTTGAAGCGGTTAAGAAAAGAGCAACAGGATGTGTTGAGGCCTTAAAATGCAGTAATAATTGAAATGACTCATCACGACTTGAGATTTCAACATTTGAACCCCTTCATTGTTTTGTTTGGAAGAGTTCTCAGTTCTACTGTGTTTTTCTTTTTTTAATATATTAACCTGTAACGAGATGAATCCACTTCTTGAGTTGCATTTTAACTGAAGTTCATGATTAAGCCCAAGTGTCATGTTATTTCTGCTAAGTTATAAGAATTTATGGCTACATTTGAAGGCCAAGTTTCATCAAGGGGCAAAAATCCACAATTAAAAGACAAACTAATGAAACAGTTTGAGGTGGTTCTGTGGTGGGAATGTTTCATTAGTTTTAAAGACTGGCACTGGAATAAATAAAACATCCTCAGTTCACTTGAAACTTTTTATTGATGAGCTAGCACACACACAGGCGAACAACACTTTAACACCGCTGTTTGTTTCATTTCCATATTGTTCATTTGATCACTTCTTAAATACATCACCCTCAGAAACACTTCAGGTAAAGCAAAGAGGGGCCGGTGTTGATCACATGACAGTGAGGGCCATCTTGACCACACAGTAGAGGTCCTCACAAGTCCACTGGGTTCTTAACACACAAGACTTGATGCAGTTCTGCAACCTGACTGATGGATTCATCAGCAGTATCATCAGCTGATCATAGCTCATTACAGATTGATTGAATCAACAAATGTCAGTAAAGAGATGCTAAAGCTGTGAGAGGTCACTTTAAAGTTGTGTGTCCCTTTAGCATGTTTACTGATTACATGGTCTTAGTCCTAATATATGCAAAATACGGTAAAGGGGTTACTGCAACACAGATTTACTGAATTGTTACTAAAATCATTTGCTGCATGTTCAGAAGCCAATATGAGCACATATATTTCATGAACTCATGCTTATGTTGAGATGTGAAGTCTGAAGACGGATACCGTCATGACTCCATTTAGTTTTGAGTTTGATCACGTCATGTAGGAGCATGTTCTGTGTTTGAAGCTGTGTGAGTATGTGTTACATCCCAGTAGACCAGAGCAGACTGTTCTGATAATTACTTTTAGTTCATAACCACAACCTTCAGAGTTCATTTCTTTAAAATTGGAAACGTTCGTCAAGTTTTTCTGTAACCGCGTGTTTTGAAATAGAATGGAAATTCTGGACCTGTGAAGACCTCCACGGTGAAGCGTGAATCATGCCCTAGATAAGTCTGCAGATGCAAATGACAATGTCCAACTTGTGCAAAACAAACGTGTTGTTGTGCATGCTCAGCCAGAGGTGTTATATGTCCCTGCTAACTAGGAGTTCAGTTGCCCAAGGCATGTGTTAGAATACTTGCAGAGTGAGTTTCAAGTTTAACGGCTTGTTCCTTGTTTTTGTTTTGTTTTTTCCTCATCCAATTTTGCCAACTTCACTTCAGATCTAATCTGCCCCATGTGGTGTCAGGAAGAAGATGCAGAAATGGGTCCATCACAATACTACTGCAAACTGTCCAAAACAAATAAAAAGGAGAGGAATGCACATCAGTGTTGGACCACACTGTCAATGTGGGGTTTGTCTCTGAGTGATTATAAACACGAGTTAGCTGAAGCTCTGCTGCTCTTCCACTGACGTGAAGACAGTGAGGCGTGTGCACCATTAGAGGACCCAAACTAACTGCCCCCTGCAGGAAAACAAAGACCGGTGTTTGGTTCCTTTACTCTTAACAAGTTGAAACTGTAAATTACTTTCTTATAGTCTCCCTCGGCAGAATCACTTTTTCACGTTAATCCAGTTTTGCCAAACGAGTGATATTTAAGGTTTTTAATTTAGGCTCAGTGTAAAGAAGTGTTTTTAGAAGACGGATGTAAATAATGTTAGCCTATAGGGTTTCTTTTATATCTACAATAACTTGGATTAATGAAAGCAACTTCTTTAGATTTGGACTCTACAGATCGACTAACATCTTTCTGTCCTAATACTGTAGATTGTTAAAGTGTAAATGGTTTATTCATATGTGGCTTATTATTAATCTGGCTCATTATTGCAATGAAATGACAATGACTTGAATCCTGTTGAAGAAAAGAGGGCGCTACTTTGGTTTTGGGGAAATGGATAATTTTATGTACATGTGGAGAAATCAAGACTTATGTGCTGTTTAATAAATTCTCTCCTGATTACTGACATTTGCACGTTTAAGAACTGACTGAGTTTGATCTTGCTCTGGAGAGGATCTCTGTCCAGTTAATTTTAATATTTGCCTTTCAGTGCCACACAAAACCTTCCAAAGCACAACACAAGAGTTTTACAAAACAGGCATATTTGTATATTTCTGACCTTAAAGGTACAGTGTGTAGAATTTAGTGACATCTAGTGGAGAAATTGCATGTTGCAGTTGAATGCCCCTCACCTCACCCTACCATTCTAAACATGAGAGATAACAACGTTAAAAAAAACATGGCGGCCTCCGTAGAGAGGACCCCCTTGATGTAAAGTATTTAAATATAAAGGCCCCATTCTAGGGTGAAACACATGACTGAAAGCAATACAAGGATTATTTGACATACGATTTCAGCCAATACATCCCTTTCACCTAAATCTTACACACTGGACCTTTAAACAGTCGATCACTGTTATTTTGAACAAACTTTATTCAAACTGGCATTTGCTGCCAGTACTTTCAGCTGTGGGTTATACTCTCATGAGTAGTTCCAAGAGAAGGATGGTGTGTGTGGGACTGACTCATAATAAACTAGTGTGTGAGTCGATGAAGGAACAGTGAGGCTCACAATTGTGTCTTTCATAGGTTTTGGACAATGCCATGCAAGGGACAAGATGTCCTGTGATACACACACTAGAAAAACATATCAAATCTTCAGATTTATACTTTGAGGGTGAGGAAGTGGCGGCTCATTGTGATACACTGGTTGAATGTAGCCCATGTTATGGAACAAAGCCTCAATATTCCATCAGCCTTTATGAGATGAGGCCTGTGTGTGTGTGGACGTATTCACCCTAACTTCAGCCATCCTTTGTAGCCTGTATCATGGTGTGGATTAGAAACTAAACTGATAACTCTGTTTCTCTGTTGTGTTTCACAATCTAACTCACCTGTTACCGTGGTGATTAAGGGAGTCAGCTTTGTGGTGCATGCCACTGGGCTCCAAATTGACTGGTCTGGACTTGTTGGTTCTTCAGAACTACACCAACAGAAAACTGTATTACAGAAACATTCTCCCATTATATCTCAAGGACCAGGAAATGAGTTCATGTGTGGTATTCACACTAAAATGATCATAGTCATGAATCATGACAGTAAAGCTGCACTTTGTCATATTTAGGTCTTGTTGCTCTAACACCAGCTTCTGGTGCTGTTTGAAACCAGCTTCGAAGAACCATTGAATCCAGACTCATGTCGATAATCAAATATGGATAATTTATCCATGTAAGAGCAATTTTTGGTGTATTTGTATCTAATGTAAGAAAATAATCCTGATAATGTCAGATCTATAAAATATGTCAAAGAACTTCCAGATGGAAATGTTTCTCGGTCTGAAGTATAAGTTTGGAGATCAATTTTACTTTTGGCAAAGCCAAGTCCCCACATACACAGAGGAGTGATCAGGAGGAAACCTTACCTGCAACATCGTAACTAAACACGTGAAGTCTGCGAAGCAACAACGGAATAAGCCACAGGGGCTGTGGAAAGGTGAAGTTCAGATGTACTACCACCTGAGGTCTGTTTGGAGAATTAAGCAAACATTTGCTGAGAAGAGCATCCTGTGAGGCATGGGTGTGGTTATATACAG